TTCGTCACTCCAGCTTCCTGTTAGCAAGCCACCCTGACACAAAACTTTCGCGAATAAAAAATTAACTTTCGCGACCCCCTTCGCGGAACTTTCGCGGAGGTCAACGCCAAGACCAAAAGGTCTTCCCTTTCATAGCTCAATACAAGGACCTTTCGGACGACTCTCATTTGTCTTTGTGGGTTTGGGTCCCTTTCCAACCCACACGCCATTCGCATACAAAAGGCACATACACACGAAGCACGCAGCATACAAATTTGTGTGCATGTTGCATGTCCTGTATGTCTGCGCGTCTGTGCATTTGTACGCACGTTGTATGCATGTTGATGCATTCTGGGCATGCAACATGCATGCAAACGGCGTGCAACATGCATGCACGATGTTGTGCGCATTTTATATGGATTTGTATGGGCTTGCTGTATGCATGTTTTGCTCTGACATCGCTATCTTCAGACTACATGTTACTGCATTTTGGCATTTTCACGGGACAGGTGCATGTTGTGCATGGTGCATCCTTTTATTTGCATTGTACGGATTTTGTATTTGGATGTGCCTTTTTGTATTCATTTGCGGCACGCAGTTTTGAGTGGATGTTGTATGCGTTTTTGGTTCGGGCCTGCCATGCACTTTGTGTGGCAACATGCCTTCAATAGGCATAAACAGAGCATACAACAAGCATGCAACATCCATTTGTGAGTGTGCTTTGTATGTATTTGCTGTATACCTTTGCATGCAAACTGTGTGCAAATTGCATGCATTGTGGGCATACAAAGCGCATACAAAAAGGCATGCAAAATGCATGCGCCATTTGTGTGTATGTTGTATGCTTGTTTGGCTCTGGCATGGCTACCTTCAAACTACCTTCATTGTGTGTGCACGTTGCATGCATTCAGCCTGCATCTCATTTGCATTTAGTATGCATGAATGCATTACGCAGGACATGTGCATGCATTTTGCCTGCCTTTTGTTTGCATCTTGTATGCATATCGTATTTGGACACCTTCCACACGCATACCAAATGCGTACGAAATGACTGCTAAAGGCATACACAATGCATGCTGCATTCTTGAGCTTTTTGTACTTTGAAACTTCATGTTGTATTCGTGATGCATGGTTTTGCACGCATTTTGCGAGACAGGTGCATGTCATGCATGGCGCACTTATTTGTTCATGTATTATGTACACAGTTTGTATGCGTATTGCGTGCATTGTTGGACTTGGCCTGGATTTCTTCCAAACGCATCCAACATGCGTACACAATGCATGCAAAAAGCACATGTTTGTTAGCATTTTTGGCTCTGGCGCAGCATGCATTTGTTGTGTGCACGTCGTATGCATTTTTGGCTCTGGCGTTGCTACCTTCCCAACCTGCAACAAAAGAAAACTTGGGATAATACATATCTTTGCATAACACTGCACACCCACACACCCATGAGCAACAGGTAAATATTATGCACGTGCATGAATTATATATGCCTTTTGTACGCATGTTCTTTGCATATTGTGTGCATTTTGGGATTTGGCCTGGCGCCCCTCTTTCCCTTGCTTTTCCTTGCTTAACCTTGGTTTGCCTTGCTTTCCCTTGCTTGCCCTCGCACCCGTGCGGCCACAGATCAAGGCAGTCGCTTTCCGTTGTTGCCTTGCTGGTTTGCAGCTTGCGTGTACTTGTAGCTTGGCACGTTCGAGCCTTGGCACGTATCCATGTGGCAAACGGGCCCCGCACCAGGCTTTGAGGGCCCCATGTTATGAGGATGTGGCGAAGGAAAAGCGACAACTCTTTGAGACCCCTGCCCTGCTGTTGAGCATATTGATGTTTTAAGGAGGGGGCGTGGCGACCCCCTAGCCACGCAATTCGGTAACGTTCCTCAAGGTCCTAAACCCCTCCACATATTTGGCCAACCATAGTTTACCGGCCACGGCCGTAACCAAGTGAATACTCAGTGAGAAGCAGTTTGAGGCGCCCTAGTAGCTCGTCCTAAGGAATTTGAAAGAGGGAGGGGGACAGGACAATGGGTTCCTCCAGGTTTTAAGGAGGGGGACAGGAGGCCCCCTGCTTAGGACACCAATATCCTCAACAGCGGGCGAAGGGTCCCAACAGTTTTTAGCGAAAGGGTTGCGATTGTTGAAACATTGCTTGGGTTGGCTCGGACTGCCGGACTGCCGGCAAAACATGCTTAGCGACACTTGCCAAGCCTCGAACGTGCCATAAGCTACAAGTACACGCAAGCTGCAAACCACCAAGGCAACAACGGAAAGCGACTGCCTTGATCTGTGGCCGCACGGGCGCGAGGGAAAGCAAGGGAAACCAAGGCAAACCAAGGAAAAGCAAGGAAAAGCAAGGGAAAGAGGGGCACCAGGCCAAATCCCAAAATGCATACAATATGCAAAGAACATGCATACAAAAGGCATATATAATACATGCACGATGCATAATATTTACCTGTTGCTCATGTGGGTGTGTGGGTGTGCAGTGTTATGCAAAAATATGTATTGTCCCAAGTTTTCTTTTGTTGCAGGTTGGGAAGGTAGCAACGCCAGAGCCAAAAATGCATACGACGTGCACACAACAAATGCATGCTGCGCCAGAGCCAAACATGCTAACAAACATGTGCTTTTTGCATGCATTGTGTGTGCATGTTGGATGCGTTTGGAAGAAATCCAGGCCAAGTCCAACAATGCACGCAATATGCATACAAACTGTGTACATAATACATGAACAAAAAAGTGCGCCATGCATGACATGCACCTGTCTCGCAAATTCGCGTTCAAAACCATGCAACACGAATACAACATGAAGTTTCAAAGTACAAAAGGCTCAAGAATGCAGCATGCATTGTGTATGCCTTTGCATGCATTCCCTCTATACCAGTTTTCACCGCCAATGACCATGTAGCTTGATATGGACATGATGAACATGACAAATATGGACCTGGAGCACGTCATATGCGTCCATGTCTTTGTCTTGTATGGCTAGCTATGCTTCTGATTCTCATCAAGCGATACAATCGATGAGAATGTTCAAATCGAATTTATCTACCTTTTTTTGATAAATCGATGAGAATGTTCAAATCGAATTTATCTACTTCTCTGTATCGGTTTTCACCGCCGCATTTCGTTTGCATTGTTCGCATTACGCAGGACAGGTGTATTTCATGCATGGTGCGTGCGTTTTGTCTGCCTTTTGTTCGCATTTCGTCTGGATATTGTATTTGGACGCCTTCCACACGCAGGTTGAAGGCATACAAAGCGCATACCAAATGTTGTCTGAAGGTAGCCACGTGCATACAGCCAGAGCACACAAAGCATCAACACACATGTGCGCGCATGTCGCATACCTTTTGTATGCGCTTTGTATGCCCACAATGCATACAAGTTGCACACAGTTTGCGTCAAAGGTGTACAGCAAATACATACAAAGCACACTCACAAATGGATGTTGCATGCTTGTTGTATGCCCAGAATGCATACAACATGCATACAACATACGCCGAAACGCAGAAAATGCGCACAAAGCTGCATGCTGCGTGCTTGTCGTTTGCCTCTTGTATGCATGTTTCACTCATGGCGTATGGATTTGGAAGGGACTCAAGCCCAAAAACAAATGCAAACAATATCCATAGAAAATGCATACCAAACCCAGGCAAAATGCATGCAGCATGCACGGGATGCTCCTGCGCCTGCCCTGCGTAACGCATACAAAAAGCCAACGACATGCAGCTGGAAGGGAAACAAAATGCATATAAAATGTAGTCGCAATGCAGCAATGCCAGACCCAACAATGCAAACAGCCAGGGCCAACAATGCAAACACAATGCGTACACAAATTGTGCATGCCCATTGTATGTTTTTTGGCATAGTTGCCAAACTGCAAACAACATGCAGAGACAATGCATACAAACGCAGAAGAACAAGCCATACAACATGCACACAAATTTGCATGCTGTGTTCTGTTTGTAGACATGTTGATTGCATTTGGAAGGGGTTCAAGCCAATGTCAAGAATGCAAACAAACATTCGTTCTGTGTAATGTATACAAAATGCAAACAAAATGCAGTTTGGAGGCATACCAAGTGCATACAAACATGCAAACCACATGCACATATAAATGGTGCATTCATTGCGCGTGCCTTTTGTATGCATTTTGAATACTTTCCCACATACATGCAATATGCATAAACATGCAATCAAACGCGAACAAACAATACATTACGAAAAACGCTCACACACACACAAAAATGCAGCACGCATGTTGCCTGCCTGTCCTGCGTAGTGCGCAAAATGCACACAACGTGTGAAGGCATACCAGGTGCATACAGAATGTTGTCTGAAGGCGGATAAATGCATACAGCTAGAGCCAAACATGCATACAACATGCACACACACAATGGTGCATTCATTTTGCATGCCTTTTGTATGCATTTCGAACACTCTCCTAGATGCATACCCACACAAACCTGTGCCACAAATGCTTACGACATGCAATACGAAATGCATACAACAGGTACAGAGAAAGGCCGACATCACCAAGCGGCATCTCCAACATCACCAGCCAGCATCCCCAAGACACCTACACGCGTTGGGCAGGACAAGAACGACACAAGCACCTCAAGAAACGTTGCTAGCGTAACTTCGCACAGGCGAGTAGAGATGCAAATTGGTATTTCTGAGCTCGCGGGGCAAAGATCTGTCACAAACCTACAGAAACCACGTGCGGCAAGGTGTGCCTGCAGCCTGTTGGTTGCCCACAAGTGAACCTTAACGGCGGGCGAGTCATCTCAAGGACGTTTCAATCAACCGCCCCCGGACTTCAGGTTGAAAAGCAGTAAGAAATGCCCTGCGCAAGGGCCGCGAGGGAGTAGAAGCGCGCGGCCCTAACTGCGGTTCGGTGAGTTTTTACAAGGTGTTGACGAATGCAAATAAATACAACAGTTTCCTTAATTGGCCTGTCCTCAGCCGACCTGTCCTCAGCCTGAAGTACCTCGGTCACTTTGGCGCCGAGAGGCCCACCATTTTCAGCAGCTCCTGCGCAAGGCGCGCCGTCACACCACGTTGGAAGTGAGCAACTTGTTTTGCGAAGAGGACATGCTCATGTTTTTTGCTCCAAAATTGCCAGGCCAACGTTTCGGGCCGCGCCATTCCCCACACAGGCAGGAAATCAAGGACGCTAGCACATAAAGGTGCTACAAGGAAGTGAATACATAGCCTTGCAAGGGCCTTTTGACTCTTCGCGAGAGTCTGCTCGCGCGCGTCTTTCTGTGTCTATTCGCGCGCCTGCGCATGTCTGTGTGCGTTTGTCTCCGCGCGTGTGTTTGCGCGTGTGTCTGTGCGTCTGTGTGTCTTGTCTGTCGCTATCTGTGTCTGTGTCTAGCCAGTCTCTGTCCGTCTTCTGTCTCTTTCTGTGTCTGTCTGGCTGACTGGCTGTCTGTGCGTCTGTGTGGTTGCGGGCCTACGCGTCCGTGGGTCCGTGCATCTGCGTGTTTGTGCGTGTTTGTGCCGTCAGTCAGTCTGTCTTTTTGTTTGCGTGTGTGCGTGTGTGCGCGTTAGTGAGCTCATGCGCTCGTGCGTTTGTGCTTGCGTGTGTGTGTGTGTGCGTATGTCTTCAGTACGTTGTTTGCCGTTTTTCCGTGCGTGGGATGTGTGTGTGTGGGGAAGGAAAAATAGGAAAAAGGCTGGAGCTAAGGGAAAGAGGGGGGAGTGTTGGGGTTATTGGGTCAAATGTTGTTATCCGCCGTTTTCAAACCCTCGTTTGATTTCATCCTATATTTTGTTGTAGGGTGTTAGGGGTGGATTTTTCTGGGGAGTAACGTTTTGTTCATTTGAAAGCGTCAGCCCTTTTAGTAGTTATCATGTTCTGGGGTGTTGGTGGTGCATTTGTTTTATCCTATTCTTGTTCAAAGTCACTTGTTTCTATGTATTCTCTCACAGTATCGTTCTTGTTTTCTTGACCTTTCACTCTTAGTTGGGGCTTACTTGTTTGCTGGTGTTTTTTTCATTCTGTATTTTCCTACAAAGCATTTACATAAGGGGCATTCTACTTTCAATTGGTTGTAGTCTTTCTGTTTTTCATTTATGTTTTCTTTGTTATTTTCTCTATATTCTTTTGCTTTTTGCTTTATTATGTCTTTATGCTTTTCACGATAGTTCTTGTTCTTTTCCAGTATAGTGTCTTTATTATTCTCTCTATATGTCATTTTCTTCTCTACAATTTGTTCGTTGTTTTCGCAATACTCCTTTGACTTTTGCTGTATTTGTTCTTTGTGTGCTTCTCTATACCGTCGTTTGCTCTCCAAGCGTACATTACATTGTTTTCTTCCGTCATTGAACTTTTCTAACAACTGAAAGACTTTACATTTGGAACATTGCTTGTTGTCTGTCATTGGTCTCTTCATGTTTAAGGGGTTATTTCTTTAGACGTGTTTAATGAAATGTTTATAGGTTATAACTATAGTATAATGAAAGGTTATAAAAGTTTATAATGACTAACCATATTATAATTATAGAATAATATCAATAAACAACAATTAGTTTGTCCCATATTCAATCTCACCAGCGTTACAACCACTATAACAACTCATGCCATACTCACAACAATAATGCTCATAACCTTCTATTAATTGGTCAGTGTAAATTTCAATCTAATCGCTAAGAATATGTCTCATATCATAATTGGGTTGATATTTCTATATGACCACCAGCTGTTTAGGTTAGGGAAGTTAAAATCACTATTTTTCATAAATGTTAATTGTTCAATTTTAATACATATTCGTAGAATTAGACTAACTTCACGACTGCTATTTTTACAGTATGATTTCATTGTTTGGTAATACATTTTCCCAATTTTAAACCTTTCTTTTACTCCTAATTTATCAAATATGTTATCAATGTTTCTTCTATACTGCCTGTCATCATAATGTTGCCCAGTCATTTGTGTAATGTAGTTCTTAAACGACTGTTTGAAAAACACTAATTGTAATTCTGCTTTCTCCAACCCTTCTTCTGGTAAATTTCTATATCTCAGAAAATCCTTTTTAATTTTAAACAACGACATTTGAAACAATCCATTTTACTATAACCACCAATAAGATTACAAACATAAACAGGTAATTTATTTGCTAGTGCTATAACAGACTTACACCTTTTTCAAGGACAAGTGTCATAATTAAACAGTGTCATTTTTCTCTTAATATATTATGTTACTTTTTCTTTAAGTAGTTTTATTTTCAGGGTTATTATGCTAACCATCCCCCTATTCCACACCAGTAGTGTTCAACGAGTCCCGGTAACGATGTTATAAAAACCCAGTCATATTGTTCATTATCATGATTGTCATAGTTGTATTGAATGAGTTCATCTAACAAGTTACGACATCTCAACACATCACGCATACAATCTTTTGAGTCAAGAAACTCACCACACTCTCTAACAATATGTTCATCTAAAACGTTTTCGTAAATGTTCTGTAATATTCTATAATCATAACTACCAAAAATAACAAGACTATCTGACTTTTTACATACTTTATACACAGTTTGTATTAAACATATCTACATCTGGAAGAGGGTTACTTTTTTATGAAATCTAAAGTCATTCTTGTCTCCTGCTCCATTTTCTCACTTAGTATAATAAGTTAATATTTCTTTAAGTTATTTGTATTTTATGTTAAGGGGTGGGGGTTTATGTTGATAAAAATATTTTCTAACAATTTAATATACTGGCGAGACTAAGGAAAGACCAAATAATCAGCAACATCTATTATGACTTAGACGAGGGTTTCAGAAGCACACAAGCAACTCACAAAAAAGCAAAAGAAGAACACCCAACCATAACATTAGAGGATGTTAAGTCTTTCTGAAAGACACAACCAAACAAACAAATCAACAATTATAGAGGCACTAATTCCTTTACTGCTCCATTTGCCAGATATGAGTATCAAACAGACATAATGCATATGACACTCTTAGGAAAAGACAAGAACGTTCCACTGTGTACTTTAGTCGTGATTGACATCTTCAGTAAATTAGCAGATGTAATACCGATGGAGGAAAGAGACGGAGAGCACGTTTTGAAGGCACTGAGAGCAAGTTTTAAAAAGGTGGGTTATCCGATGTCCGTGTATTCTGATGATGATGGAGCGTTTGCTACCAAAAACCAAGTTCAGGATTTGTTCAACAGCGAGGGTATCAAATACATAATAACAAAGACCCACGCAAAAGTGGCCGAGCGTTTTATTAGAACAATGAAAAACAAAATCCACGATAGAGTTAGGTTTAACAACATGAAATGGACCGATGCTCTAACACCCGCATTGAAACAGTATAAAGGCGCATTACACTCATCAATAACTTATTCAAAGTTGAGAAGGTTGAATATAATATTATGGGTAATAAAACTTACACAGTAGCAGGAATAAACAAACCACTTTTGAGACATGAAATTCTGTTAGTCAATGATTAAACATATTTCTTGGTTTCTTCCATATACTTGACTTGGTAGCAATCCAGACTTGATTGTTTAGGCTCTTTTATGACTTTTTCATTAAGTTTTTCAATAGAAACATTTCGTTTATTCTTGTATTCAGTGCTCTCTCTGTCAACTTCTTTTGGTTGATAATTTGTATTATTGTAAGCTGGTCTCTTGATACTTTCTAACAGTTGGTAAATTTGCTTATTTTGTTCCATTATCTCAACAACTTTTAAACTCAGTTTTTCTACACTTTCCATGTATACTATAAAATAAACTATACTTTTCAAACTAAATGCTTAAATTATGTTAAAACTACTCTGAAAATACTAACTTACGTCCCTAGGGGGTTTTCTTCGCACTGTATCAAACTAATTATCTTCAATGCTTTTGATTGAAGCAATAGACGCATCGGCAATGCCTCGCGAAGCTTCGCGACAACCTGTTCCATTATGTTATTCACCACCACAGCCTCTGGCGAGGCGTCCTTTAATATTAACTAAGAATAATTTTCTAAATATCGTTAATATTATTTTATGATGTCTGAAGTTCCAATAGTAAAAGCCAATAAACATAACTGAATGTAAATTCAAACAATCTAATTACCCACACGTTCCAAGAATTCCATTTAGAAGTATTATTGTTGCGAATTCAACAGGAGGAAAGAGTGTCCTTATCCAAAATGTAATACTAAATGTATATACAAATTGTTTTAGTCGCGTTTGTATATTTAGTCCGTCTGTTCAGAATGACCCTACTTTCGTTGAAGTTAAGAAATACCAACGAGAAGAAATAAAAGTAGATGATACAAAAGAACAAGTATATTTTGATGAATACCACCCGGAAGAATTAGAAAATACTATTAATACACAAAGAAAAGTAATACATTATATGAAAAATTCAATAAAATAAAGAAACTATATTCAATATCAATTTGCATTGACGGTTTCAGTGATGACCCCAAATTTTTAAGATAATCAAAATATTACACGGACTTCTTACGAGAGGTAGACACGATGCAGGTAGTTGTATTTGTAGCCTTCAAAAATATAAGACGGTGGTGAATATAATTCGTGCCCATGCCAGTTCATTATACATTTTCAGATGAAAAATCATATGTGAGTTAATGAGTTTTATTGAAGAAAACGCGGCGATTGTTGATAAAGACAGACTTTTAGAAAAGTATCACACAGCAATACATAATTATCCATATTCCTTCTTTTTCGCAAATTTAAGTTCAAAAGATGTTAATATTATGTTCTATACAAATGTTCAATCCAAATTTTAAAATTACTACTTGATAGCATTGAGACATAGGCTTAATGTTATTAGTTCAACGTAAATTAATTAAGCGTTACAAAACTGTAAAGCATGTAATTTATATATTAGTTTGTCAGATTTTTCTTTTTCTAGTTTTCCTATTCTTGGTACACGTTCTTGAATAGATGTAATCATTAAAGTACCTGCTCTTGCTTTTTCATCTACTCTGAATTTTTAATGTCTTCCATACTGTTATTTTCAATGTTTTTACTTTGGCCGATACCCATATTATATCATTATTT